TGCTCCTTATGAGCAAAATAACATGAAATTGGTGCAATCCACAGTTCATAGAATTTGCAAATTGAAGACTGGAGAGCTGCCTGGCTGTAACCTGAGACCAGTCACATGCATTTGGCAGCTATCAACACTTTCCGATTCTCTTGAAGTTTGTGTTGTTGTATTGAAATCTGCATCCCTCAATTTTTTTTGCTTGTGTAACTTTTGGTGGAGATGCCAGCCAATCAAATTGCTTAACTGATGCTATGTCTGATCTCATGACTTCTCATCGCTACAATTCCAGATTCAGACACACCCAAATAGGGAGACTTTGACTTTGTCTGTGGGGATCCTGCAGTAATGTGTTATGATAGTATTTTGGGATTAGGCCCAGAGAGTCTGTGAGCTACAGATGATCAGTGGCAAGATAAATTTGGCCTGTTCTGAGTACCTCTGAGCTCAGATACCAACAACAGAATTCCTCCATGGTTCTTTAAACTGTGTATGCCCTTTCTGCAGATTAGGTGGTTTTAAACTCAAAGTTTGTGGACTACTGGCCTTCATTTAGCAGTTGACAGACAGGAAAACGAGGCAGGGAGCGTGAGGAAAGGACTCCAGTCAGGACTTAGACCAAGTCAGATTTAAGACTTTGCTCATGGGCTGCCTGGTCAGCCAGCTCAACGGTAGCAGTTCAAATACATCTATAGGGACTAAAATATAAATGAAGATCATGAATGTAACGAGACAGACACAAAAATCTTTAAATATATAGATTTTATATACATATGTTCACGAGAAAGACTATAAAAGAAAACACTATATTCTTACATAGGAACGATTCAGCACAGTCATATTCCTAAGTTAAATAGTAATTTGATACAAAATTACTATAATAAATAAAACGCATCTCTTTTGTTTTTTAAATTCACATACCAGTTGTACGAACAATAAATTACAAGTTCAGTGCTGCATTTCTGTCGTTAAGCGAGAGTAAGTAAAGAGAAGAGTGTCTGAGATACTCGAAAACTGTTTGAATGTCTGTGTGTGGGGATTTTGGTTTAAATGTGGTCAGATAAAAGAGAGAGAGATTTATTCATTGTACAAACAAATTTGAATGTTTGAGGGGATGAGACAGATAGCTGGAAGCCGATCTTTGTGGAGTGGTGTTTCTCCTGCCCAGTGGGTGAGTTCTGGTGGCCAGGAAAGCCTGACCTGTGCCAAGCATTTCAATACAATTACTGGAAGGTATCAGCTAGATATGTTATTAACTTTGTTGTACCACGCGAGCTGAGGTAATGTCCACAAGAATATGCTTAATTATTTTACACAATGAAGATTTATACAAGTATATCGTCTCAAAAAGAAGCTTGTTTTGAACTCATCCTTGAACAACTGACCAAAACAGAAAGAATGTGATCTGAGTGGAGGATGTTTGAGGGAAATCTCACTCACATACCTTTTCTCTACTTTCCACATGCAGTCGTGTCAAGAAATGAATGCACCCTCTATTTTTCTTAAGAGAGTTGTGAGACAATACACACGCTTGTTTGGCTGATTGTCACCTCACTCATATGAGCCCTAAAAACAGCCGGAGTTCACTGGAAGCAGGAGATTTATGGGCGTCTCCAGGTGCAGGAGACAGAATAATGAGACGGAAAACAGAGAAAAACTCACAAAATAATTCAGACATTACTTTTCAGAAAACACATTTCTCTTTATAGAAAAATATGACATGTCAAAATGAATCATTTCAATGAGCAAAATATCTTGTAAAATATTAAAGTTTGTTTTGTTTGTGAAACATTGAAATATTAAAAAATGTGATGTGCGAAGTATTTCCAACTTGCCTTTTGAAAAGTCACAAAGCATTCCACCAGCAGGATTCTTTTCTTTCTGCTCGTCGCGTTATCTTTTTGTTGCTTTTGTTCCTCTCTTTGTGGCTGCTTTTTGTTAAAGGCATGTCTGCTCTTGCACATAGGAGCCAAAGCACAGGCTGAGGTCAGTTTTGTAATTCTCATTTTCTGTCTGACCAAACAGAACATTTAGCAGACAGAAGAAAGCAAAAGCTATTCAAACCTTGGCCCATCGCCCTAAAATTGGAATGGTGTGTATACTGTTCTGTATGATTGAAGCGTCAGCCCTGATTCAGAGGACCTGTTTCTGGCACAATGAACGTCCCTCTATTGTTTCTATCTATGTATAAAAATAAAACGATTTGGAGATACAGGATGTAAAACATGTCAGCGAGCAAAGAAGGAGCTGAATTGCAGTAGGACAGTGATGACTGCGTCTCCACCTGCTGTCGTTGCAAGTATCCAGGGCACACATTGTTGAAATTAAGAAACAGATTTTAACGAGCACACACTCACTCGTAAAAATGCACACACACAAATCCTCCCAGCACTAAGGAACGATTGATCGAAGTGGAACTGAGAATGAAGACACACAAAGTGCGTACACGGACACACACAGGCACGCAGCTCCAGCACCTCTTCACACCTGTGAGTCCACATTATGCTCCGCAAAGGTTAGGGAGCGTCACGGGTCAGTTTCTTTCCCATCACATGGCGCACAAATGATTATCAAAGTCGGCAGAATGGATCCTGATGTCTCGGGGAAGTTCTTCCAAACCTGTTTCTGAGACAAGCGGCCGCATAAGCAGAGACGAGAAACAAACTGCTTCAGCGCTGTTAGAGCCTCCGATCCGGTCCACATTCCTGCAATTCTCCTTTCCCTCCTGCACACAAAGTCACTCTTCCATGTGGGCTGCAGATTGTAGCTGTTCTGAGCATCATGGGAAATAGTTTTCCTCGTGGTTTTCAGTTGAATGCATCAAAGTCCTTATGGTCTGGTAGGTAAGTGGTCCTGATCCAGGGCCATCTAACATATCCAGACATCTGGTTACTTCCAGATGCATGTCTTTAAGGGAAGAACAAAGAATGGCAATCATAAGGTAGGAAACCCCCCTTCAATTGAATGGACTTCACTGGAAGGGACCTCATTAGTAATGGCTAAAAAGATGATCACAAAGATTACAGATGATCCAGTGAATCAGTGCTCTCCCACGTTTTACGATCAAAGAGGAAGACCCTGACAGTCCAGGGTCGTGGCTGACGGTACGGGGGCTACCTTGATGAACGGGGAGCGTTTCCTATTGTTGAAGCTCTTGTCTGGGGCACAAAAGACAGAGAAGTGTGAGCTGACAACACGTGGAAGCATGAAAAGACAGGCATGCCATTACAGGGCAGCACTTATAAAGCCTCCCGGGTTCAGAGGCTTAAGTAAAGACTCTGAGTTTTTTCCATGTGGAAATTACATGCAACTTAAGTCATTAGCTATGCCAGGGGGATACTTTGTGCTCTGCATAGCTACTACTATGATTCAAGGTCATTCCTCTGGCATATAGTCATCTACATCCATGCCAGCCTGTCTCTGAATCTCCTTGCATCTGGTCCTGACATTCACAATCCTCTTTAAGATCCTTTGTCTTCAATTTATTGGTTCGTAGCCCTATATCCAACACGTCAGATCATTTTGGATCTCCAGAGGACAGTTTTTTTTTCTACAGACTGTTTCTCTATCTGTCCTGCTGCCTCAGCATTTGTTCACCAGACAGTGCTTAAAGGCAGAGGGACGGGCGCTCAGCACGCAGCCCTTCGATAGTTTTCCGTCCTGGTCCTTACACTGCACCGTCCGGCTCTGCCAGCCATTATCGCAAGTCCTGGAGCACGCCATCCAGGGTCCCGTTACCCACTGGGGCCCTGGCGGCTTGGCTGGGGTGCCAGGCGCTAAAGGTGGCTGAGGGACCAGAGCTGTGGGAGCAGAGGTGCTGGTGGTGGTGCTGGTGGTGGTGGTGGTGGTGGTGGACGTGGTGGCTCTGGTTGTTGTGGATGTAGTTGTGGTGCTGTGTGTGGCGGTCAGTTTCTGAACAGACGGCTGCTGCGGAGCTGTCCCCCGCGGCATGAAGAAGCTATAACGGATATCCAGGGACTTTTTGGCATCTGTAGCCAAAATCTGGACCACTAAAGGTTCTTGCAGAGCCGCGGGGCCCATGCTGTGGAGCCACTCGTCCCGCTGGCTCCAGCCGCTGTAGTTGAGCAAAGAACCATTGAGAGGGATGATCGTCTCTGAGGTGGAGATCATGAACTTGCCATTCAGGAGGTAGTCGCCGCTGGGCCGTCGCAGTGCCAGGTAGGCACTGTAGCGGGTCTGATCCTTGGCCTTATGCTGACGAACCTTGATGTGAGTGGAGCCGGTGGGGATCTTCACCACATCAGTGTAGCCTTTGCTATTGGCCAGAAGAGGGAATACAGGAGTGGGTGATCAGAGCATGGAATAAACTACTTTGTAAAAAAAGAACCGGATCATTTTGAGCTCTGGCATAACTTATTAGTGGATTAGCAACAGATCTAGAAAACTAAAACGCACCCGTGAAAAAAATGGAAGAAATCTGAAATGAGTCTTTAATAAATAGTGTGATAATCAGACTGACCAGCTGCATTATTTTTATTTTATACTCCTGAACAAGTCAGCAATCACAGCAGTGATTCAGAGGTCTGAACTGGGCTATGCTGTTTGCTTAAAACTGAGGCATTGAATGCAAAGTACCCAAAGTGAGGAATAGATTGAGCAGACGTGGGCTCCATATGCTTCCTTTGGATCAATACACCGGGCTCATTCATTCAGAGTGAGTCTCATTATTCGCATCTCATTCTTTGGCTACCTTCAAGCTTACAATCTGCCTGTGAGGCATTTTGGGATGTCTGGTCAAAGACATCGCAGGTATTATTATACATTCATTGCATGATATCTGCAGTTGAGTGAAAAACAACATCTGGTCAGTGTTTCAGCTGTCATTTCACTGCTAATAGTCCAGATTGTCTTATTAAGCTGCATTATTTTCTCCTCTAGCCCAGATGTTTGATTTTATTTCCCTTTGGTTTCATGTTGTCCTACAGATGTGTGTGTTTAGGAGTTGTGGGGAAACACACAGCATCCCTTCATCTCACCTCTTCTTTGTGAAGTTCCCGATCACCCGCACACATCCGGTGCTGTCGCCTCCGCATATCCCACACTTGTCAAACTGGAGCTTGGAGCCAATGATGCCGTCGCAGCCTGTGCGGACACACTTCCCTTTCACACACACCGAGCTGCTGTGAGGACGGCACTCCGTCCCGTCTGCCACCTGAACACAGAGACCATCACCTTGGAGCCTCCTCCTTTTCATGACTGGCGGGCCCCTTTGATGCTCGCCTTACTCACCCTTTGAGAAAACACCACATAGTAGCCCGTCCCTTTAGCTCTGCATGTTAACTTGCACACATCTTTGGGGAGGACTCCTGCGTACTTGGGCACCCACTCCACAAAAGTCTTCACCCCCTTTGGATCTGTCTGGGGACCGTTGCGCAGCTCGCACTGCTCCTGCCGGAAACTCTTATCTGCACAAAAGTTCCATTAAGAGAAGTTTGAGCTGAAGAACGTTTTGTCCACCATGATGTGACAATCATGTCCTCCTCTTCCCACTCACTGGATGCCGGGCACGGGAGGACGCTGCAGGATCGATAGATGGCCCTCTTGCCCGTGCAGTAGCGCCCGTTGTTCCGTGGTGGTGGGTTGTTGCACAAACGCTGGGCAAACTGAACCCCGCCTCCACAAGTTCTGGAGCATGGACCCCAAGGACCCCAAGAGCTCCAGCTTCCATGGTTGGATGCCTGAGAGGGGGAGCGTACAGAAGGGGAGAGGGGGGTGTAGATCAAAGATGATATCAGCGTTTAGGAAATAACACGAAAGGAAAGATCAGAGCGAAAAAGAGAAAGAGGGAAAAATGAAGGAGATGAGAGAACAATTAGAGCTTATCAGACATGTACAAAGCTGGAGCAGCTGCCAGGACAAACTCGTGTTGTTGGAAAAAGTCCTTCAGAGAAAGCTCTGCGAATAAGAAAAATGTGATGTTCATTGGAGTGAGAATCAATGGACACTCGTCATGTGAGGATAACTAAAGTCTGTTTGAGGGTCGAAAGCTCACATGGTTAACCCGTGGAGCCGCCTTGGTGAAATCCCTCAGGTAGCACACTTAGTTCTGTGGTATATGACGCAGAAGTGATAAAAATGACTCCATAAGTGGTCTTTAATATTTTATAAGACCAGGCAGTTCTTTTTTAATCCTCAAAATTGTGCAAACTCTCTTTGGAATCATCTTTTCCATAGACTTCTTTACAGGACCCGAACCACAGCTTTCCACTGTAGATATAGAGATTAAAGACTGTGCAGTAGAAAACGGAGGGGTGTGTATGTCAGTGCTGCAATGAGGGGGAAAAAGAAGCCAGGCAAAACTTGGGCAACATCCACATAAGAATTCCACTGCCAGTGATCGAGTTATGCTCGTGAAGCGTCATGTGACACATAAACATGCTGAAAATATTCTTCCCTTTTCCACATTGGCTTTTTTTTTGGTCAAGGGTGAGTGTTTTTTCCTCCCCTGATACACAAACAGCGTGGAGAGCCACCCAAAAACAGATCTGTTCCATTACCTACCTAAAGCCAAATCTAAATTAGATCTGTGTGAATGAAGCGGAGAGAATTAAGAGCACCGTCTGCAGAATAAATAAAGCAGACCACACAATGAATCCACTTCAAAGATCTTTGCTCTGTAGAGCACACATCTGGAAAGGAGAGCTAAAAAAAGAACCTTTTCTGGATTTTATTCATTTTCTTCTTAATCTTGAAGTGTCTTCACTGGCTCCTGATATTGGGCTTTTTCCCTCTTACCGAGTAGTGCTTCTTGCGGGTCTTGTCCACGCACTTTCCTTGCAGGCAGATGCGTCCTTTCCCGCATGGCGTTCCTTCCACCGCCGGCAGCTTCTTGGTCAGGCACACCATCTGTCCCTGGCGTATGACGGCGCACCACAACCGAGAACACACATCCATGCCTGGACAGACGGTGTACTCCGGCCCAAAGGCCAGGCGGCACTGGCGCACGGCGTCGTAGCTTTGTCCTGGGAGTTCTTCGGGGCCGAGGAGAGGCAGGCGAGGAGAGTCCAGGAGACATTCGGCTGTTGGAGAATGAAGGAAAATAACACTATTCAGCACCCATTCCTCTTGACCCCTTTACCAAAAGGTCCAGGCTGCTGTGTGAGTTCAGCTCGGTCGCAAGCCAGCGAACACCGCTTTGTTTCAGGTGTGCCAAATTCACTGAGCTTTCCTTCAACAGCAGATGACACTTTCAAGCCTGAAAAGATGCTGTTGGTACATGAATGATGCCGAGAGGCATTCAACTGCAAAAGACATGTCAAAAAACCCTGCTGGATGAAAGTGGAGCAAAAGCTGGATTTGGCTTTGGCTGCTTCACTCTTTAAAGAAGTGATAAGGATTCTTATTCATCAAATACATTTTTTTATTGTATTACTTACATTTAACATTAATAGATAACATTCTAAGTCTAGTCAGGAACACGAGCAGTCCAGAGATTAAGAAAATTATCTGGGCTGATAAAGTCAGCTTCCACACTCACCGTTGCCGTCGTCAAAGAAGTCTGTGATGGTTGCTGAGGTGCAGCGGCTCCAAGGTTTGGAGGCGTCGATGGAGGTGAGAATGGAGGACATGAGCCGCTTGTCGCTGTTCACCCCAAAACGCTCCTCACAGAACTTTGAGTCATCATGTGACAAACCCAGCAAGTGACCTGAAGCACAGACAGACAGGTGATGGACAGTTCAGGGGAGAGATGGAGAAAACCACTCAGGAAACATTTAACTGAGAGAGAGGCTTAAACCCAAAGGTAAATAAGAATATTCTGATCTTTTATTTCTTTAATGGATCAGATTAAACAATCCAGGAGTTTTTTTTTTAATGTTGTTGAAAACTGTGTTTTATTTTAAGATGAGCTGATGCCTTAAAGCTCTGCTGTCAGCACAGCCCAGAATTTCAGCAATGCAAGAAATGACGGGACTTGTCTGGAATATGCGCTGGCAGAAGAACGGAAAAGAAAACACACAGCGCGCTCAGGTCATGAGGTGAATGACGTGATATCAATCCACCAACGGGATGTGCTGACAGATGAGCATGTGCATGCCCCGGCGCGATGCGGGTGTTTTATTTACGCCTGCATCCATGCCTACCGATCTCATGAGCGACGGTGAACGCGGCGTGAAGCCCGTCGTCCTCAATGACTGCACAGCTTCTCTCTGGAGAGCAGATGGTGCCGACGTCCGCCATGCCCAGGGTGTCGCAGGAGTGGTGGCCACAGAGGTCCTGGAGAAAGGCAATACTGTATGTTTAAACAAACACCTCCCCGTAAAACTCTCAAGCTGGGAACTTTTTTCAACAATCCTCTCTTGATGATCAGCGCTGCTCAGAATTTACAGCGAAACGCTGATTTCAAACTAACCAGTATCCTGAATTTAACCTTTTTTTCCCACTCAACATGTTTTCAATCAGAGTCAGTGGCTGTTGAAGGGAAATCTTTCTGTCTGTCTTTCAGTGGGAACACAGTATCGATCCTTCTTTTGATTCCCACACACGTCCATGGAGACGAGGCCTGGGGCTGCAGCCGGCCCCGCTGATCAATCAGCTATCACACATTCCATCAACGCACGTGTGCCTGCACACGAGCCCCTGTGTGTGCACACACTGCTAAAAGGCCGAAATGTACATTCAGCCCAATGTCCAGTCACACACGTCCATGGGTGAGAAGGTACACACAATCACACACACACACACACAAATGCATCCCAGAGAGAGGATGAATCGTCATGTTAAGTGGTGCTGACAGGCCTGCTGGGTCGTGTGTGAGAGGCTCTGTGGGGAGGGTGTTTACCCGTTCCGGGCTGATCGGGTTGGAACAAAATCCCTTGTGTGTGCACTCGCACTCATGACGACTGGGTGGGACCCTCTCACACACATAAACACACGCACAAATTATACACAAATACAGTAAGCTGACAGACCATGCTTGCAAACGCCAAATAAATACAAATGTGGACCCTCACAACACACGCACACATCAACTGTACAGGAAGACTGTGCGTGCTTCTGCCAGCTGACTGCTGGACGCACAAGAAGCAAACAAAGGCCGACTGCATGGATGGCCACTGAGGGCCAAACAGAAGAAACTGAAGTTTCTATTTCCTTGTCTGAGAGCGGACAAGCATGAAAAACTACAGAGGGAAGCCCTTTTTATTTTTCTCAGAAAGTGAAGACATATAGAAAGTCTGCCTTTATATTTTCTGTTTCACATTTCCTCTTTCCCACACTATTTCACTCCTCTTTATAACTCCCTCTGTGCCATTTATTTATTCATTCATCCCCTCTCAGGCTGTTGTAGTAGAGCTGTTTCTGTTTCCCGCTGTCATATATACACAACCTTCATCAATACAGCCCAATGAAACAGGAATCTCAAAGAACTACAAACTCACATCTACTTGTTCACTCCTCCCTTCTGCCAAGTCTTTGCAGAGAGTTGCTTTAGGCCAAAGAGCTTGAGAGAGCGAATGAAGAGAAAGATAGAGGGAGGGAAACAAAAATATGTCCAAGAGGCAGATGCTGAAGGGGGGGTGGTGCCGGAAATTAAAGAGAAGGACTGAGAGAACAAGGGGTTACATTAATATTGGCAGGAATAACAAAGGAACAGGTGGCAAGATCATGGGATGATCAGAGCCACACTTATGTGTGTGTGAGCTACAAGACCACTTGAAACTTAAGTCAACACTGGTTTTAAGCAAACAGAGAGCCAGACCCAGACACATACATACACAGAGGTCCCCCACTGAAAGACGGGAGCTCACCCTGAGAACTCACTGCCGGCTGATTCCAATAAACCCTTTGAAACGTAGCCATTGATGACAGAGATGGTGACAGACGATTAATGAGGTTGATTAACAGCAGTTGGCTCCCGTGCTGCTGTTAGCATTCAGCACCATATGCTGCCATGCACTGGATCCCCGGAGCTCATCCAAAATCACAATAAAGACACATTTGGGACACAAACTTTTCCCAACAACAACTGAATCAATGCTTAAGTTTTCAAAGGCGACTACATTTATCCATGAATAGGAACTACATCGGATCCGAAAACTTTGGCCACATCAGCAGGGACCGTACTCATACGCCTGGTTTGTGGAATGATGATCTAAACTCAAATTAAAAAACTCCCAATTATACAATGAAGTTGTCCAAGAGCCACAGAAGAAGATGAAGGTTAACTGCAGAAGACGTGCCCTAATTAAAAATTGTTTGGTAAAGAAGAAGTAATATTAACAAGCCTCCAGGCGTGTCCCTGGAGTAAAGTCTTCTGTCGAACAGAAGGGAATTCTGCTGGTTAGTTTTTTACTTCTCTGGTTACAGGTGCAGCAGAAGCACTAACCTCCTCTGGATCTTCCAGTAATGGCGTCAGTCACACTCATCTATAGTAATAGGTGAGAACACCTGTCAGAAAATCAGAAGTTGAACCTTGGCTAGATGGATGCTCTCTTGAAACATAGCACCAAAGCTTTGAAGCTTCAAACCAAAATTCGAAAAAGGATGTCAGGCTCCATGCTGTGCTTAGAAATGTTATTTTTCTTTGAATGGGCACATGAAGTAGCCTAGAATCTGCACACAAAGGGCCTTTTGACCATGACTACAAACATGAGTGAGCTTTAAAGTCCCTCTGTGCATCTCAGTGTGAAAGTTGTGTGTTGTTACAGGACAGACCGACTTCTCTGGCCGGCTGCAGAAAGTCGTCAAATCAGTGGTGGAAGTCGAGCAGTCGGGATCCAAGAACTGTCTGCAGGTTGTCAACATTCGCCAGACCAAGTAAAGCACGTGTGAAATATCAAGAGCATTTAAAACAAACTGGAAGTGGCTGTGAAGGGGGTGAGGGCTGGGAAATGTACACTTTAATGTACAGACAGAGAGGAGTAGGGAAATGACATACCGAGCACATATACATGCTGTGTCTTTGTCAAGTTTCTACTCTCTATGACTTCCACTACCTTTACATTCTCTCAAATATGCTTGCAGCCTTAAAAAAACAAAAAATATGTGAAGTAAATCAAAAGGAACTGCGGAGTGAAGACTTGCAAAGTCGAAGCTGTTTCTCCACAGCTTCGGTCAACCTATAGTGGAGCTTTGTCTGCCATCCAAACTCAAAACAACACAACCATGCGTAACATTTTATGTTCCCACATACAGAGATGCACACTCGGAGGTGCCCCGGGTCCCCTCAATGTACCCGTTGTTTTGTTCCAGTGCTGGCATGTGTGGAACTGGGTGACACTGCCACACGGGTCAGCTCACTGCGAGTACGGGGTGTTGGTGTAATTGGACCCGGCCACAAAGAGGCAAGTTCACTCCAACTCTATGCCCTTGTGCCCCTGATGTGGGAACAATGGGATGGTCTGACTCTATGGTCACAATGAGATTTACTTCAGCGCACAACAAAACGCGGACTCCACTTCAAAGTCGCTGCAAATGCTGTGAGGAAAAGAGAGCTATTTTTAAACAGAAAAATAGCTATCCAATTTATTTTACACCACCAACATTTACAGAATGCCAAATCTTCCGATTTCCATTTCGGCTGCAAGTTATTTTCCAATGGTTAACACACACTCATGCTCTATGCATGTCAAATTTGTTTTTTTCCCCCGGCTCAAAACACAGAAAAGTAGGAACCAAATAGTGTCATTTCCTTACTGGCACTCTGTCGGTGGAAACAGTCGTGCCTGCATGCTGTTTGTGCAGCTAGGGACATTTTCTCATCTTTTCTGACTGCCACTTACAAAATGATTAAAGGCTAAATGTGGCTCAAAGTGGGGTTGTTGTGAAGCGTGGTGGGCTGAAAGAACATCTTTACTACTCACATTTTTCTCCGTGGCACCTGTGTGGTTATATGGGTGGACCAGAATCGCTCAAGAAAGCAATTCTCACAGGAATGTGGCCTTAAAAATTCCACTTTCACTCGCTCCCCTGGAGCAGCTTCCTCGGCCCTACATGTCAAAATGCTCAACAAAAAAAAAAGAAAAGAATCCTTACTCCGACCTTTAAGGGCCACAGAGTTCAAAGGTTGAAGGGAGGTGACAGCTGGAGATGACCCCAAAGCTAGACTTAGTGAATGTTCTGCATGACTTAAGAGTAGAGGCTAAGTCGTTCTGCAGAAATCGTTACGATAAAGCTTCAGAAAACTATGTATAAAGTGAATACTGGTCTACAGTGTGTCACAGGGGCCACAGAGGGAGCTTCTAACCTCAGGTGACAGCATGACCGGTGGGCTCAACGGCAACACTGAGGTGTGTGTAAAAATACATCCAGAGGGAGGTTTGTGAATAATGCACAAAGCTGTTGAGATACAAAGTCAGTTTAAACTCATAACACTACTTCAAGGCTAATAGGTGCCATTTTTTGGGTGCATTTTTCTGTTATCAGATTTGGCCTCCGTCGGTAACACTTTTGTTTGGTGCTGTCTTAGTCTGAGCTCTATGACATCATTCAAACCCATAAAAAAACAGGGTGCGTGTCTAAAGCCAAGGTAAACATAAGTGTCTCAAAAGATCAAAGCTGCGGCATTAAGACGAAGAAAAATAATGTTTCACAAGGGTTTCCTGTCTCTTTTGAGTCAGTCTCAGCATCTGGACTCATGTTTCCATGCCCGCCTGACCCTTCCCAACCCAGCCAAAACCAAACATCCGAGAATCCCCCCCCTCTCCAGGTCTTTCACTACGCTCCTGCAGGTGTAGCGGCAGTAGTGGAGAATCAAGGTGTTTGGCACGCAGAACTTATGCCCCCTTGCCAGCGTGCTGACCTCAGTTATGTGCTCGTACTATGCAGGAGTGTGGGGGATCCGTGGTAATACCACTTGTGCGTGCTCTTTTGGCCAAACCCTGACAAGACCTTGCATGACTTAAGCACGCCACAGTCCAAGGCAAAGTTGGAGCTAACCACCATGAAGCCACACCCGAAAAGGTGAAAAATGCATGCAGATCTGCTGCTGCCCTGTGGCTTTGGACCTGGCAGTTATAGAGGAAGGAGGCAGGAGAGAAAAGGGGGAGAAAGGAGTGGTGAAAGAAGGGATGGATGAGTGTGGTCCCAATCATGGTGCAGCTTCTAACAGGGTGGGTATTTGTTTTTCTGACAGCTTATCCAGCTTATGGATATTTCCCAGCCCCGTCCGACAGACACTGGAAAGCTAACAGGGAAAATATGTGCAGACTGGACTGAGGAGAGAAAGAATAAAAGAGCTGGAGAGTGAGACTGTGATGTCTGCCAAATGAAATGCAGTTTCAGGGGAGTTATTTCTGCAATGCAAAAAGCAGCTGATTGGAAATCTCCTGCCCTGAAAGGAATGTGTGTGTGCGTGTGTGTGGTGGCAAGCACAGGGAGAGTTCACTTATACTCCAAGGCTGTCAAGGGGTTTGGGGGGGGGGGCATTGCTGTTTTCATTCCTGCCTGTGTCTGTGTGCAAAGTGGCTCAAAGCAAAGTGAAACACCTAACACTCAACCGAGACCAAAATAAGATGTCACTTCACTCCTTTTCCATCACATGAGCCGTGTCTCCCTCCCTGCGTGGGAGGACGAGCTGAGGGTGCACGCGGCTGTGGGGCTGAGAGGTGGAGTTTGTTTACCTGCCTGGTGAAGAGGATGGCCGCGTCGTGGTGGTGTTGGTGGTCGTCATCCAGAGGGTTTTGCTGGTTCTGCCACTTGCAGAAGCTCTTGAGTGTCGCTGCGGCGTTCTTGGACACCTCCAGCCCCTTCTCCTTCTCACTGAGCACGGCCACCTTCACCACAGAGAGGCGAATGGGGTTCTCGATGCTGGCGTGTCCGTACAGTTTAGAGGCGATGGAGGCCAGTGTAAGCAGGTAGTGGTTCAGGTCCTTGCCGTACTTTTTGGTCATGGTGTCATCAGCCACTAAGAGCAGCTCCACTTGCCTGGCGCGGGACACTGACCTCTTGCGCCGTGCGCCGGGCTCCGCGGCCGCGGCTCTGACGAGCCGGCTCCACCGTCTCCGCGCGCGGGAGTCGTGGTCATCGTGCGTGGCGAGTCCCTCCCTGTCCCGTCTCCCTTTCCCACGATCTCTGCTCCGCCTTCGCCCCAGTGCGTCTCTGCGTCCCCTGCGCTTGTCGTGAGTCCCGCAGCTCTCGCGTCCTTCGCTCGGTGCCTCGAAACTGAAACTTTCGCGCGTGAACGCGTGGAGCGCGCTCTCTGCGTCCTTGTCCTGGAGGGTACGCGCATCGTGCTCGTGTCCCTTTGCCCTAATGATAGGCGTGATGGTATAGCGTGACTGATTCACGGCGAAGAAGCCCTCGAGACCCCCTCTACAGAGACTGAAGACGGCTAAGGACTCCGGGCTGGAGTTGACAGTCCCGCGGTACGCACACTCACGCCGCAAAAGCGCAGGGCTCTGCCCCATCATAGCGAGCACATATTGTGGGCTGAAGTGATGCGACAACACCGTTTCATCTCGCTCCATGTCCAACTGAAAGCGGCTCCCATCCAGGTACACCAGGTAGCCAACCTTCCCTCCTCCATGGTAAATCCGGTCAATGGTCCGCACCACACCGTCTGTCCTCCGGGCAGGTGGAAGAAGCGACCCGCTCGCAGGTGGAAGATAGAAACCTTGGAAAGTAGACGCCCCAGCTACGAGCTCCAACTCCAGCACGCAGAGCAGGAGCTGCAGCCGACACGCGAGCATGCCCCCGGTCAGAGCACCAAGGAGCCGCACCATTGTTCATTCCAACTCCAAAACCATTTATGTGTCCACTAACACCGCCTCGGAGCGAGCGAACAGACAACTTTAAAGGTTTGTCTCTCCAGAATGCGCATCCTCTCGGTGTCCAGATACCTCATGGAAAAGCACACAACACTAACCAACAGGCGAGAAAACAGAACCATTGAGGGAAAATGACAACAGCAGCAGAGAGGAGCTGTGTGCCGGCTGGGGAGCACTGAGCTGAACTTGGAGAACAAAAACAAAGTTTGCTCTTAATAGGACCCGGAGAGAAAAAGTCCTGCCCCTTTTGCGCTCCATCACCACTCCTCCACCCCCTCTCCTCTGTCTCTCCCTCTCCCTCTCTTCCTCAAATCAGTGAAGTGCTGGAGGAGAGTAAACCGAACAATGCTGTCACAGAGGTGTCTCCCCTGCCTCAGCACAGTACAGGGATGCCTTACTATTACCAGTCATTTCTGGGTCATACTCAAGATAAAATGGCCTCCCATCCTCCACTTTCAGCACGTTTCCACAGGCTCCCAGGGCCAGCAGCGTTTGACTTAACTTGAGAATGGCTGTATTAGATACCAGACTGTTATTTTTACACTTTTACCACTTTGCCTTGCTTAATAATTGAAAAGTAGAAGTGCAACAGGATTTGACTGAAGAGTTTCAGAAAACTAAAGGGAAATGGATAATTTATAGCCATTCCCGAATAAGAACTCTGGGACTTCACTGTTCCCATGTGAGGCATTTAATGGTGTGGGTGTGACGGCGGGGGGGGTTTGAGGAAGTCTGTGAACGCACACAGAAGGTGCTGCACTGCTCCACTCAGGTAAAAGACAGTAAAGACAATGTGTGTGTGTGTGTGTGTGTCTGTACCTACCCAAAGAGCTGTCATCATTATTTATTGTGCCTGCAGGGAAGTGTGGGGAGGTGCCGATGGGATGTCATGCCTGTGTGCTGAGAGGGATTTCACCACGCAGAAGCTGGAGCTGAAGTCACCGTGTCTCCCTCATGGACAAACTCAGAAGAGAGAAAAGAGGAGACGAGCACTTTTAAACTGTCCTCAAAGTTCCTTGCTGAGCAACTAGCTACTTTCCACCCTGCAGATCATTCAGGAGTTTCCAGTGTGGCAACATGACCAGAGGTGGATGCCCCCCACCTCCAGATACTGTGTTTCCACTCGACGGTGTTGAACAGCTCGCTGAAAGCTCCAAATCCAAAAGCCTTTGGATGAGTGAGTGGGCAGTATGGATGCAACAGGGAGTGGGCATGAGGGTGCAGCGGAGGCGACGCCTGAAAAGGGAACATGGTGTGCTGCCACCATAAGCCCAGACATCCCCGTCAAATCCCACCGTGGTACACAGAGGTCGCACTCAACAAGAGCGGATTTTCACACAAGATGTTACCTTTTCTTGGGGGAGTCCAAATAATTACACATGAATTTATTGAAAGTGAGAGGAGATACACAGAGGAAGGCACAACACTTGACCAGCCCATGTTTAAAAAGTCTTCCCCTGAATGCAGACACCACTGCACGGTGGATCCAGTATCAGGCTGAACTCACATACCACTCTGCTGTTATACAATCCATCTCCCACCACACTGCCTGTCTCCCTTTTCCTTCCTCTTCATCTCTACAACCCCCCCACCCCACCCCCCCACAGACTGCTGCCGACTGCTTCTACTTTACACCAAACTGTCAAGTGCATTGCCTGGAGCAAGGAGTTGCCCATGAAGGCAGAGAAACCAGAGGTGATGGTAGTGAGGACATCTCTAACCAAAAGGAGAGCGGAAACATGACATGACGTTCAGATATTTGAAGTAATGAGGCAGACTTCTGGTCAAAAGTGCTGCAGCTGCAAACTTCTGGCAGCCAGCCTGGACAAAAATGAACTTTCTGCAGCATCTTTCCAGAGCTAAGGAACACGGACACAACACTCAGATAGACACACACTTTGGCTCTCCAACAGCGTTCTCCTCTCCCTCCCTCTTCCGCTCTCCTCTTTGAATCTCACACACTCAGCTCATTGGATCATTTTTAATCCCTATCATCTGAAATGAAGATGTATGCCAAAGCAACCATATGGACATAAACCTCCCACGTTATCCACACACTGAAATTACACAGTAACCCAGATCACACGTGCAAAGCGGGCTGCTTTATAGTACTGCGAACCAAAACAAGCCTGAACCACGCGTGCCGAGCCACGTGCGCAAGGTTGGGGGGGTGGGGGGGCGGCCCACTTCTTACGGCAGTTGAGTAGAGGGACTCCAATATGATTAATTGACAAGGCAAGTCATTTATGTAACCGGTTTCTGAGGGCCCTCCTCCTTTCCGGTCGTCTCCATGACACCCTCTCCTCTTCACTCTCCATCCCGTCATGGATGTTAAAGCCACTAATTCCCATCAGGATGAGAATGCGTCACATTAAAAAGACCGGCAATCAGTCGACCAACTGTGTGTGCGTGTCTCCTCTTCCTCCTGTCCTCAAAGAAACCAGGTGTGTTCTTTGCATCTGTTACCATGGTGCTGAGAGAGCGGAGCAAAGAAAGGTGTCTCCTGGTAACGGCCTGCCTCGAACACAGGTATACTCTATTTTCTTGATACACCTGCAAACACACACACGTGCGCTTTCACACAACACTAAATAAACCCAGTCAGCACAAACCTTTTAATTTAGAAAAGAAAAAATGACATTTGAACATAAAAGAAGCCCATTTTCAAACCCAAGGAACATTTACATACCTGTAAACAGTCGGATTGTTTTAAGTGAGTGACGCCTTTCACAAGACTTCCAGGGCTTAGCACATGCAAGGATTTCAGTCAAACGATGTGATCCAGGTCTGAATAACAGCAGGTTCGAGGATTTATCTTCTGACATGTTTTAAACATCACACTCGCTCAAGAAATATTTCCCTTCTGCCTTGAGATTTGCACAAGCATTCCCAGCGTACAGTACATTCTGTCCTCGACTTACAGTGCACAAGCTGATGCTGGTCATGCTTTGCAACCTGAGCCCCGACAAAATACCGAAAAACAGACTTCATGGTGACAGAAAACGAAAGAAAATAATTAAAGCTTGTTCTTCTCGGACAGCGTAAACCCGCACTGACGAGTAAAAATGTTTGAAAATGAGAGATGAACATAATAAGAGGGAATAACTCAACTTTAGAAACATCTTTCTTGCGAGATCAGGACAAACAGGAGAAAGTAAACTAAAGTGATGGTTCACATTCACTATTTTACATCTATCCTCTGGTAAAACTCAATATTCCAATATTGCATATTTCGATGGCAGATTAGGTATTTTGTAAAGATAAAAACAAATTGAATTTATAGAGAATTGCTCAATCTTTTTTAATCTAAAATTCTATTCTGCCCAACAATCTCCAGCCTTGGACCTTTGCTTCTCTTCCACAATGGCCTCAACACACCTTGGTATTAGTGAGACTATTCACTTGGACAGTTGAAGTTCTATTCAGAGATTATCACTATACTACAACATTTGGTGTGTGGAGTAAAACATATTACTGATTTTTTCTGGATAAAAAGCAGCAGTAATTTTTTAAGATGGCTGAACTTTTGTTTGCAGAGATATCAGATTTCAACAAAATAGTGACGGTCGCAGAAAAATATCTCTTTAACTTTACACAAAACAAAACTGTGACGTTCAGTTACACTTAACGAAAATACATCTACATAATTCTAGTTTAACTAATCCAGTTCTCATTACAGCTAAAACTTTAAACTTTTGTCTGGACATGTGCGTTGACAGTCAGGTAGTGGTAAGCACCATGGCTTTGATAACTTTTCCAATGATGTTCAAATAAAAGAAATGTTATGATTTTCAATTCTCACTGGCAGCATACGATGAAATTTGAATATCACTGTAACCCAAGTGTGGACATCCTTCTTCAGAGATTACAACCGCAATAATCTCAGTTTGAAGATTTTTTTGTAAATAATGCCTTTTGACTTACAAAAACTACATTAAAATGACTGAAACCAAAACAGTGCAACTTCCCTCCCCAGTGTTTCTAATGAAAACCTGCCTGACCGAAACAGACCCCTGCACCTTACAGTCAGTGACAAAGAGTTGATATATTGGCAGCAAAAGTGATATTTGGCTAACGCAACATGTGCATTAACTCCACTAACATGTTCTAAACCATTTGAGTTGATGACGTTGCAATCACAAAAGGTAAACCACGGTCAAAACAAATCAGATAAATCACTTAGCACATGTCCGACTCATGGAGTCATTTCAGCAGACATGCTAAAACAAGCAGTGATCTCTAAATCTCTCATAGAGAGAGTATGGTGGCAGCTAATAACTATGATGTTGGCAAACAAATAGAACGTTAGCGTGCTACCTGGTAGCTTTATGTGTGCTGAGAGGCTGGAGGGGCTGTGATTAAATGGTCCTCAAGTATAGTGGCTAAAGTGTTAGAATAAATAGGAAGCAAGAACAATAAGAGGATATAAAATGGCTAATATCCAGGAGTGTGTGCTGTTTTCCATAGACCAATTCAGGTGATCAGGAACAGGGGCCACGGTGGTCTTAAAAGTAGAACAAGCTGCATCCTAGTTCAGGTCTTGATCCTCTGCTGAAGCCTGAAGAAGGCAAAGCAACCAGAGTGACCCACAACAAGCAAGCAGGCATTGCTGCAGCCCTTGTTAAATCTTTCTGCAGTTAGCACCTCCAGCTTTGTGTGTTTCTGAATGTAAACATCTTGGAAATAAGACATGTTGAAATAAAAAAGATGATCCCCAATACATACATTTTTACATGATGAAAGGTGAGGATCAAGCCCCTCTGCTGTGATCCAGGAGCATTAAGCTCAACCCTCCTGCTCTGCACACCTGATTGGCTGAGCAGCATACAGCATCACAATCTGTTGACTAATGTTAAATCATCTGGCCGTGGATGAGTTCTGTAACTTGATCTTTGGACTTATCGGTGAGGGGCAGCACGGGGGTGTAAGTGAGCACTGAGCCGTTGGTGGAGATGTGGTTGAAAGCCAGTGCGGACTTCTTGGCGGGGCTGCACAGTTGTTGGAAGCGCTGGGGAGCCAAAGAGTGGCAGTTAAATATTTGTAATTACCTTTCATTTTGGTCTAATTTCTATCTGTCTATTTGAGAAGACAGAAAATAATCCCACCAATTTTGTGTATCATTTAAGAAAAAAAAAGATCACTTACCTGTGGCAGAGTTCCAGGGGTGGTGATGAGGGCGTAGATGGCCCAGATGGGAAGCAGGGAGACGGATGAGAGGGTGAGGATCCAGCCCAGTGTGGTGGCCCAGACTGGAGCCACCAGTCCTTTCCCCAGACTCAGTGGAGACCAACGAACCAAGGAGAAGATAAAGGTAGCCTTAAGAGGACAGAAGCACATTAAAAGCATACATGGTGAAGTATTAGAAATCAAATGTTGATATTCCACAAAGTATTTTCATTAAAAGATAACAGAATGGTAAATCATATTATGCATGACAAAAAGAACCGCTCCTGTGCTAGAGGCAAAGTGGAAAAGAAAGGCCTAAAATGCTGAAACCTAAAGCCTGAAGGGGCCAGATTTAAGGTTAAAAGTGGTGACGGTGTGACTTAATGAGCATTCATTCCATGCACGGCTGCGTATTGATTCAACGTGCATGACAGATGAGTGTGGGATGGAAATCGCTTCATATGCAGCTTTGTAACAGCAGATAAAAACACATAAACAACAAAAGTAGACAAATGTGTATTCAGGTGGCCGTTAATATTCTTGGGAGCTTGCTGCAGTACTAACACTGTGAGAGAAGTGATGCACTATGCCAAAAATGACGAAAACGTCCATGCTTCCCAGTTTCGTAGCAGATGGGGTGAAGACAGCTCTTCTTCAGCTGACTGGAGATGAAAAGACTGTCTTGCTGTTAAGATGTAGATGAAACAGATACTAATACAAATTGGGATATAAATGGCTCTGTCCAAAGGCAGCAAAAACACTTGTGGTAAAATCAGGGTTTTTATTTTCACACTAAATCAATGCATGTGTTTTTCAACCGACTGCATGGTCTGATGTGAAATGTGGTATAACAGACAAAGACATCATGTCGTCTGTTATTTGCCTTGAGGACGGTAGAATGAGTGAAGTGACAGAGATCCAAGTGTCTTGGTGGACTGATGGCATGAGGCTGAACAAACAGGTAGAGGGTGGAATCAGTTTGGAAGCCATAACCTTATTAACATCTACAATACTTCCCAGAGAACTGACTCCTCAGAGCGTGAAAGCAGGTAATCTTTGAGGTTACTCACAGTGCACACGGTGGGAGTCAGGTATCTCCAGCACAGCTTGAAGACAGGCAGGGGCCTGTAGCCAGTCATATCCTTGATGTTGGCACAAAAGCGCTCGGCTCCTGCAGACAGACCAAGAACACAGTGAGATTTGGTTATGGTTTTGGTGGTGATGCCCAACTTTGGTTAAGAAAAAAATCCCTCTCTCCCCTTTAGTCTTCACAGCTTTAGCGGAAAACACAAAAGAGCTCAAGAAACTCAGGAAAAAAGCAAGAACAAAACACAAGGTAAACTTGGCGTTGAGCTTGTTTGGCACTCACATTCCTGAAGTATTATTTCTACATTACAAATGTCTTCTCTGCCTGCAGCCTCCTCTTCTTGGACCACAAAAACGGCAGAGGACTGTTGTGGGGTCCTTGTGTTCCCACAGCAATAAAAGAGGTGAGAGGGTGCAGTGGAGACCTGACCGCTGTGTTACCCAAAACCCTCTCCTCAACTCTCCTGCCACATTAACCCACTGCTGGGAGAGCTATAAAAACAGACTTGCCTGGTACTCACACACACTAGCGAGCTTTTTATTTTCTGCTACAATCACATGGCTATTTTTCTTTTATAACATTGAGGACCTTAAATCTTATAGTTTATGATTCATATGCTCTTAGCACTAATTGCATTGTGCAGATGGATGTCCATTCACCCATCTTACATTGAGCAAACAATGCTTTCTGCGTGTTTTAAAGCCTCATGTCTGCCTGGGATGGGGGCTCCCTGGGGCCACAGGACTGAGACTGAGAGGCGACGTGGCCCAGGGGCTGATTTAGGGCCCAGAGGAGACAGGCAGGGGCCTGGCCGTGAGCCAGTCTCCTTACAGCAGTGGGTAGCTAGAGCCATGTTAATATAGTGTCTACTGACGGTAAGTGGAATGCAGAGGGAGGAGAGGAGGTGTACAGCTAGAGCCTAAGAGTCTATCAGGTTCTGGGAATGACATTCATTATTGATAACAACAGATATTAATTAAATCCCAGTGGAATAGGCTGGTAAGCCTTTATTCACAGGAATAGTCACTTGTAAAACTCATATGAAAAATAAATAAGAGGGACCCTAACCCTAACCGAGCAGAAAAAAAGAGAAGGGGAGATACAGAAAAAAACAAACTACAGAAAACAAGGAGAAAAAAGAATATGCGAGCATTAAAACGAGATGACGAAGGGAAATGTAAAAAGAGAACAGAAGGAAAATCCAGAAGAGAGATGGATAAGAGGGGAAAGAAGAGGAAAAAAGGGGAGGGAAGAATTTACACACAAAGATTTGATTAGAGTGACGACGAGAAGACAGATAGAAAAATAATGATCAAATCAATTTCCAGGGTCAAAGAGAAGTTTGGAAAGGAGAGAAAAGAAGGCAAAAGAGTAAAAAAATAAGTGGAGAAGACAAGAAAAATAAATCATCCAGGAAAATGGAGAGATGTTCAAAGTAAAAACGACAAAGCAGAGGAAAAGGGGTGCAGCTGAGCAGAGCAGAGGTTCATACCATAGACCCAGCCGATGGCCAGAGATTGGAAGATGGAGAGAAGTAGCAGGCTGGCTCCACTGCAGGAGAAATGGTCATAGATCTGGAACACATACAGACCACCCTGCGCCGCCATGGAGAAAAACACAGGAGAGAAAATACTCCTTATATCCACATCGTTACAAACACAGCGGCTGGAGGATCACCTCAGACGCACCGGTGTGACCATGACCAGTCCGATCAGGAAGCAGACGATGCACACAACCAGCAGCAGCAGCTCTCTGCGGCATCCCCGTCGGATCACATGCGGGTACAGGTCAGTCACCGACGTCATCAGGGCCTCCAGACTCACAAACTGCGCAAAAGAGTGAGCCGGAGCGTGTGCCGTCAGTTTGTTATGATGCTACTAGCACCGGTGCCTTCAAACTACAACGCTGAGGCCAGCCGGTACCTGGGTGTCCAGCCCCAGCATGATGATCATGAGGAAGAAGCAGACAGCCCAGAGCTGAGGGACAGGCATCATGGCCACAGCTCTGGGGTAGGCAATGAAGGCAAGGCCGGGGCCTGTGAACACACCAGCACAACAGGAATATGACCACCGATAACAAGGAGATCCCAGCAGCGTAAAACTTTAACCTGAATGTATTTAAAGAGATGGCAGAATCTCAAGTTCCATACTTGTATTGGTTATGCCAATTGCTGAGCGAATTGTAGTTTTTAGCTAATGTTTCCAGGGCAGCAACAAGCAACCGCACCAAAAAGACAGGAAAAAGAGAACTTCTTTTCCATTTCAGATTGAGGCTCATTCCTCAGCCAGTTCTTTACGTTGCAAACATGTAAACCTTTAAAAAAAAGCTCTTTCACCTGACTGCGCCACGCTGGCTATATCCACCCCCTGTTCTTCAGCCATGAAACCGAGCACTGAAAAGATGGCAAAACCAGCCAGGAAGCTGGTGCCGCTGTTCAGGAGGCACAGCATGAAGGAGTCCCTGAAAACACACAAACACTGATTCATCGGACAACAGAAACCACTGGAAACTGGACAAGTCTCAGTCAAGGAGTCAAGCACTTAGCTCTTTATCTGAGAGTGTGTGTCAGTGTGTGTGTGTGTGTGTGAGACTGTGGGAAACATGGCTGTGAGGGCTTTTCTTTAAGGTGTGGCTGTATCAGTGTGTTTTCTCTGTCCATTCCAGCCATTCCTTCTGGCCAGTGGGAGCTTACATCTTACATTTCTGTGAATACAGTTTGTCTGAAGTGGCAGGGAATGAGCTGCTGAGTGGCCGGAATTACTTTTGTGTGCATGTACATATGGCAAAGTGTCTCACTTATAGCAGTCATTGTTGTATTTGTTGTAGCTGCCCAATGCTGTCAGACTTCCCAAGCAGATTCCGTAAGAGAAAAATACCTGGGTACCTGCATCCATCCATACCTACAACAAAAAAGGAAGAAACAGAGAGCAGGAGGGAGAAATGAAAGGGCAGATGAGTGGTGACAGGAGCTAACTGATATCCTTTATTCGTCTACCCTTTGGCTGCCCTTTGGGGTTAATACAACTGAGCTCTTTGTATTCACACAGTAATGAAAAAAACCTCACACAAACTTACTAACAAAATGATAAATACCTATGAATGATTGAAACTGGTTTCAATCACTGTGCCTCCTCCAAACTGATGACGCAGCTACTCACCACGGAGTGTGCTCCCTACCTACAGGGGGTGTCACACCCGAAAGACTAACTGGAAGGATAACGGATGCCTCGTCACCATGTTTTCAATGGCCTGACAGCCAGCGTGTCAGTCTGTTTGTACCTGTGGGTCTGCCAGGCGGGTGTGGTTAGGCTTGAGGTAGTAGATGATGCCCTTGGTCGCTCCAGGGAGAGTGGCCCCTCGCACCAGCAGGACAAACAGCATGACATATGGGAAGGTGGCTGTCAGGTACACCACCTAAAATGTGCACAAAGCCCAGGGGGATGTGGTCAGGGCGGCACGGAGAACACAGGAGGGGCCATGGCGGTGAGGACCTCGAACAGGGGTGAGTCCTAAAAGAGGCAGCACTGGAAGGTCACGATAAAGTGAGACAGCAAAGAGTCGGCTGAACTGCTGCACGGCACTGCTCCTTGTTTCATCTGCCGCACCAAAGATTTATGTTGCATCCGACACCTCAGGGCTTTGAGGGGTGTTGTTAAAAATACCATCAATCCACTGCCTGAAGACATGCCTTACATTTGAATTAACTATATATAACTGAGTCTGACAGGTAATAGCTCTCAGCTGTATTACAGACATTTGTTTGGTGTGATCAAACATGAAAGTAAGAGAATTAACCTTCAAAGGAGGCCGAAATAACTTCATTTGGATGAACATCTTAGAACAAGAAGGGGCTTAAAAAGTTTCCCTAATCTTTTCCTTCCTTGTGTGTGCCTGCAAATGATCAGAACGTAATCCAAAACTACCCTTGTTATCAAGCTACTTGTTTACATTTGTAGGTTATAGACTCACCTTTCCGGTGGACTTCACTCCCTTCCACACACAGAAGTAGCAGATGAGCCAGACGGCAGCCAGACACAGAGCCAGCTTCCAGCTGACTGGGCCCAGCTCGTCCAAAGTGTCTGAAAGGCGGAGCACCTCCCGCCTAGAACAAACCTCTGCTGTGAGTGCCAAACACATAACGCCATCCCAAGAAAGCCCACGCATCCCCATGAAGTGTCTCCACTCACTCCCAGAACTCCATAACAGGAGAAGTGGCGTTCTCAGGGAGGCTGCTTGTGTTTGAAGTCTGATTGTGATGATCAAACAAGATACAGGAATCTGTGGACCACACGCAGTTACACACTTAGTACTTTGTCTTATCTATCTCAAACGACAGCAACAGAAGAGTTCTGTTTCACTGACTGGTGTTCCACGTGTTGTTGCAGTGCGACCACGGCAGCTCCGCCTGGAAGCTGTAGGACAGGTAGAAGAGAGCCCAGGCCAGGATGACGATGTAGTACACACAGCCATGCAGAATCATCACCTGGCTGGCGTAGCCCAGACCTGCAGGCACATGGGAGTGGGCAAGCAGACAGATGTGGGTGCAGATGTGGACGCAATGAATCACATCTAACTCATTTATGAAGAGTTGCATAAACACACATGGATAAGCTCTTCGAAGAACTCCATAAAGACGCACAATTATCGGTTTAATGTCACTTGAGTTTCAGATGAAGGCGTCCTTTTACAGAGACACTCGACTTGCCGCCCACACCTAGTACATCTTCATTAGGAGTGAATGATTGTCTTATGAGATCTTGAGGGGGTTACAAAGAGGAAGCTGTTTGCCCAGACAAACGACTGCTTGTAGTGTCCGCAAATGAAATTCAGGCCTTTAATCCGACGATGGCAGACTACATGTGCAAACCAGGGAGGAATTCCTACAGAAGCATCTTTGTGTAAGAGCAAGCTCACGTGGCTGATGAGGTAACAGATCTTCGGAACGAGCGGACGTTTACATTCCTTCAAAGAATGCTTTTATAATTAAACAGAAGACCAATAGGGGAAGTTTAGAGTTTTGATATTGACATTGATCAATGCGTCATTGATCTGCACCTCTAAACAATAGTGCTATAGTGCTTTCCTGTAGGGGTGGATAAGGCTTATATCCAGACTTACATTCTGTAAAACCTAAATACACTCCTTTCACCCCAGTGTTTAATGCTAAAAACCAGGTGCAGTTATCCAGTATCTCATGTGAGAGTTAAATATACAGACCGTATTTAACACAGTACAAAAGTACATGAGATCTTGTATGACCAGGTGGATTCAGAATTGTGTTGCCACAGTTCGGTGTGGCCCATTGAACAGCGTTGACATCGTTTTGGCACTGATGGGACACAGGGTGGCTCTGGGTGCATGCGTCAGTGTGGGAAAGTGATGGAGAAAGTGGATGAAAGGAAAAAGCGGTAAAAAACAAACATTTGAAAAAGCATCCTGCGCAAGCTATTTTTTTTCAGGGCGGTCGTATCGCTGTGCAGTATTCTGCATAAGTCCAGGGTCCCTCTTTTCTTTATGCATAAAATCTAGAGATAGGTGAAACGTGCAATCATAAAAGAAATGCACTGTTTACGTCAAAACTGTTTGAAAGTCAGTATTCCCTCTCCAACCAGCTGTGTGTCTTTTTTCTTTAAGGAGTCCACAGAAACAGCTATCGGGACTTCCCAAAGCTCTTCTTTGGATGTGAGCGGCCTTTTGTTCCCTTCTCTGTCAGATGATCCCACACTGATGCAATAATGTTGAGGTACAGGCTCTGGGGAGAATTAATCCCTCCATCAGACCTGTCCCCACTCCTCTTAGTCCTCTTAGTCTAATTTGAAGTACCAAAGTTTGATAACTCTGTAGGAAGTACCTGATGCACAAAAAACGAGTCACGTGTCTGTGAGAATCCTGCCAGAAACAAGGCGCTGAAAGATAGCTGCAACTGGCTCTTTGTCAAGATCCCCGTTAAACTTGGACAAAACACTGATTCATTCTGGCTGTTAAGTGCCTTTTTATTCTTTAACGATTGTTAAGTAAGTGTTTAGTAGCGTTGCAAACCAAGAAAAGAAAAATCCAGATGCCTCGTACAAGAACTGGATTTAAGATGATCAACCAGCATGTGGTATCTCTGGAAGCGTGGAGGCAGAATATGAAAAAAAAAAAAAAAAAAACTCCAGAGCAGTAAACCAGGTTCCATCCTCACTCGCCACCACTGAGCAGGAGCCACTGATGCCAGCTTTTCTGACTGAAAAGATATCAATGACTGCTTGTGTCAGAGTTTACAGCACTGTGAGCGGCCATGTTTCACCCCATCTCCTGCCAGCTAACTGACAAATGGAGCATTTTAGAATCAACTAAAAGACTCTCTGAAAAAAGGAATGTTTTTTCATTCCATCATGAATAGGGAGTCAAGAGGGATTATGTAATTGGATTTTACATTTGTTTTTACGACTAAATGTAAAGAAATTAGCATAGAAATGAAATGAATTAGTCCACACTAACACAAACCTTGAGCAGCATAAGCACAAACAGCGACTTACAACAGACGGCTGATAACGCGAGAACACAAGATTACCTCCAAATAACGGGCACATCGTCCTCCAAGCGCTGACCCCTCCCAGGCTGGTGTACTGTCCCAGTGAGGTCTCCAGGAGGAATAAAGGGATGCCACAGAGCACCAGGAACAACAGGTAAGGTACAAAGAAAACACCTGGGCACAAATACAGAAAGTTATTGTGAGAATGACCCAATCATCAATATGGACCAATCTTAAACTACATTAAAGTAAACATTAAAGAGACAAACCTCTCTAGTATGCATCAGGATAACATTGTAGACACATTAATCGCAGATAGAAAGTAGAATCTCTGTGCCTTTACCTCCTCCGTTTTTGTAGCAGAGGTAGGGAAACCTCCAGACGTTGCCCAGTCCGATGATTTGCCCAGCCACTGCCAAAAGGAACTCTGCCTTGCTGGCCCACTGGCCTCTAGCATGCAGGCCGTCTCCCTTTGCTTCTTTCCCATTGGGGAGGCCTTCTTGGTGGAGCTTTTTTCGCGTCGGATCATCCCGGTGTGAGGAACTTTGGTCGGCCATTACTGGTTCTGGTAGAGACACGAACACACCCCTGACAAGAAAGACACATATAAACTGAAGCACTAATAGGATCATTTGTAAATCTAAAAAAAAAAAAAAAAGAAAAGCTGTCAACGATGGACCAAAACAGGGGGGAAAAAGCACCAAGCACTCACATGGTCACCGCTGCGCCTGAATAAGAGGACGAAGAAAAAGCTGGGTGTATTTTCTGACTGTTGGTTTGGCTGCCTCACTTATCTAAAATTTGTGTCTCAAGGACACCTAATGTGGGTGTGCATGCTTTATCTGTAGTCCACAGGACACCCAGTCTATATTTCAGTGTGGACATCTGGCTGGGATCCTTTTCCGCCTGCTTTCACAACAAAACATATTCAAAGTCATGGAAAAGTGTCACATGATTTGAATAACTATGTCATAATAATAATACATTTTAAGTACTTTTTTATTCTTAGTGTGTTAGTGTGAAATCTCTGGTGATTTCACTTCTGGTTAATGGGTTTTTGTGTAGTTTGTTTGAAGATTAGGTAAATCTTCAACTGTCCAACTGTTTAAATCAGACTACGAGCCTCACAGGAGCGTTATGTGATGCTTTATCTGCACATTCAGAGTCAGAAACACGGGCAGGGGTTCTGCTCCTTCCTTTTTAAGGAACCTCGTTCTCTCCTCGTCATTGTCGTGTGACCTCGGCGCCACTGCTCTTCGCATCCACGCCGCACCACGTGACCACCTAACGCTGACATAACCACCGCTCACCGGCTTTTATAACTTTGCACCATGACTGGCGGTGTGCCACTCAAAGTTAAAACGAAGGATAAACATGATGTAGCCGCATTAGCTGAGTGGCCGGGGGTTCCGGGGTAGACTGGCACATGTAAGAGACATGTAGCGGTTCGGAGCTGCGCGCCAGAGGCGGGTTTGACTCAGGGGATGCGCTTCTGCTCAAGTCTCCCGTTCTTTCACACAGACCGCATGGAAATATACGTTTTGTACGTTTTTATGTATGACTAAATTCTCCTGAATTCAACATGAGAATGCCTACCTCTGCGTTTCCTGTAGTTCACCACACCGTGACCACCCCCTTTAAGTGTGTTCAAATGGTCTATTCCGGGCATGAGCAGCTGGGCGTGCGTGTGCGTGTGAGCTTCTGGCCAGTGCAAACTATCTCTACAAATCTATCTATACGCCAAGTTTGGGGCAAGCTAGAGTAACGGAAGCATAGCAGCAATAAACAGGTTACAAAACGAGCTGCTAGGCATCATGGGTACTGAGGCGTTTTTTCTATTCTTAAACATCAAAGCTGACTAACATTCACTCCGTCGCCACCACATTGTTCCTGTCACCTGCTGTCACGTTTTGGTACATCACTTTGTGCTCCCGGAAATTCTGCTAAAGACAAACTAAAAACAAAAAGACATAATAAAAACCTAGATTTGTATTTGTTTATGATTACATTGAATTAATATTTCAATTATCATCAAATTCTGTCTCAATGAGATGAGCAGCTGGGGATCTATGATTAAACTTACAGGTACTACAATAAATTGACTAGTTGCATGATAACTAACAAGACAGTTGGCAGGAACAGTGTGCATAATTTCAGAATACCAATTTATAATTTTCCATCCATCCATCCATCCATTTTCTGTACCGCTTATTCCAAACAGGTCGTGGCTAGTTAGAATATTTCACTTGAATATTTAAAAAAGAAACTTTTGATATGAAATCAATTCAGCTACCTTTGAGTGATTATAATCTCACCAAGGTCTAAGGAAGGGTGTAAGGAAACATTGTTTGACTGGATATTAAATACTCCTTATCTACAGATCTTTCAGGGAATATATATCAATGTAAAGTAAAACACCAGCATTCTGACCCAATATGCTTGTCGTGCAAACCATCTTGACAACTAAGGCCACCTTTAGCAGCTGGACACAGCTGTGTCATTACCTGTGTTCATTTGGTTATTTCTGTTATCACTCATCTGGCCATATAGTAATGACTTTTTATAACTTTGTTAAAAATCAACCAGAACTGGAAAACAAATGAAAAGCAAAACTTAAAAAAACGTTGCAAATTTCCACATCCAAGATAACTCAAACCAGTTGGTTGTCTTTCTTAAAAAAAAAAACAAAAAAAAAACACAACAGTCCTACCTATAGAAATAGTGCAGGAGACCGCTGTGATCTGAGAATATCCAGTCAGATACTGCCGTAACTGTGAATATTTGGGTGGTAAATTCTTGTCGTAAATGTAACCTGAGGGACATAAATAAATAAAAACACAACAACATTAGGTACAATCGCACAGCGCGGTGGCGTTACATACTTCAAATTCCTTGTCACAACGCAGTGCTTCTGGAATGACAGGTTCATGCAGGCTTTGGAGTGGACAAAACAAAGCTCATGGTGGAAATATGACAGTGGTGGTGTCTGGTTATATTACCAAGAGCATAAATCACAAACAAAAATTCCTGTCATTAAACTATACTCACTCCATAATTGCTTGCTTTTTTGCTGTACAGTGTATTGCTGCTGCACATGGGTCATTTAAGAACAACACAGACAAAACACCTTGGGCCTTTAAGTTTTGACAGACCTTTATGGTTCTGTTGATAAAGGTTTCCGATAAGACGGCGATAAAAATATCAACTTTAATCACCTCTGGCTGGAACGTTACTTAACTTACCTTGATTATTTGTTAAAAGTGAATTCAAACAATGTGGACTTAGCTTCAGTTAAAATAATAAAACCTTAAAAGGGCGTAAACCCTAAGCAGTACTTCTGAAGGGGAACCCAGACATCCATCAAGCTAAGGAGAAGAATCACTGTATTGAGAAACAAACTTAATTGCAGCATATATTTCAAGATTGCAATTAAGTATGGAGACTAATTTATGTTACACTTTACCTCAGTCTCTTTTGTTTGTTCAAGAAGTCAAGGGTTAATCGTCAGGAAGTGATAAAAAGTCCTGTGATTATATACAATGCACAAATTCCACAGCTACAAGTGAGCTCTCCACATGCTGTCTCTCCAAATGCAAATGCTTTCCTTCCCAGGGGTCAAATAAAACCCAAACATTAAGAGTCCTTCGATACAGTCTCTATTGTTCTGCTCTGAAAACCTTGTGTATATGCCCTGGCATATAACTCAGACCAGGTATGGCCATGCACGGTCTCTCGATAATTTATGGTCAATTTTATTGGTGTCTGGTTCCCAGGGCAGTGGGTCACTGATATACAGTGGTAACCATTGTGAAAGTTCACCAGCTTGTTTCTGCCGCATGCTACAGCCAAAAGGTTTCAAAATAGGAAAACTCATTGCACAGCCTGAAGAGTTACAGAAATTCAGTGGTGATTGGAGTGTTTGCTCTGTAATTCTCCATTTGCGCAATCTGTGCTCACGCAGACATGCACACACCACAGACAAAGGCTTCAGCACACAAACAGACAGTTGCAGGGTCACAGGTTATGTAAATCATACACTACTGTGAGTCTCAGTTTTGAACATATGATGCCAATGTGTTGTAGGAGGACTAATCTTCCAAAAAGCAAAAGGTGTCATGTTCATTTTGAAGTCTGCAGTTACATGCTCTGAAATGGCACCCACAGAAAAGATATAAATAAATGAAAAATGCCACTTCTGATCAGATATTGTGTTTTTCCTGTGATTTTATGAAGTATTTACTGTTTAATTTGCAACAATTGCAAAATCCACACAAGCTTTTTTTTGTGGATGACTTTTGGGGTTCGATGTTTGTTTATACATCTGCCAGGGTCCTCGTGATATAGCTTTACTTCATGATCTATTTCTTAATAACTTCTCTGTTTTAGCAATACACATATTTCAATGCCCAAAGCTATGCTTGATAAAATTATTTCAACCGTCAGAATAGAGAGGCTAATGTAACTTAATATTTTAGGAATTTTGATGAAATTCAGGCCCTCAGATCACACAATTTAATCTGTTTCCTTAACCATGAAGTAAAAAAAGCTGGATGAAATGAAATTGCATTGAGCTCTTTTAGAGTTTCGATTCTGATTTGGTCAACATTGAACCATAACCTCCTAAACCTCTTCCTATGTTCTTCTCTCCTTGTCCTAAATAGATAAACATTGTAGTGGTTCATCAAGTCCCTGACTGGAAAAATACCTTGTGAAAGAGGAGCAATTAAAGGGAAACCCATCGCCCTTATGCTCCTCACTATAAAGTCTCCCTTGAGGTTAGTGGCCCAGATATTTGGTCTGATTCTTTCTCCTGGATATTTCATGAATGTTTTGAGGGGTGGTTCACTCCATGAGTTTTCTTTTTCCCCCTGTGGGCAGCCATGTGATTTGTTAATGTTTTTTTTTTAAGATTTGAGAGGCTTTGCTGTTGTCCCTTTCCCTGAAGATTCCCAGTTTGCATTCACAGCTTTAACATGCATTGAAACTGAATCTCAGCATGAATTGAGTTTAAATATCCAACTCATGTCTTTTAGTTATTAAAGCGTCATTTAAAAGCAGTGATCATTTGGCATTGCCGGTCATTGGTAGGATTGGTTGTCCAGTGAACCGCTTAATAAAATCCATATGAGGAGACAGAAGGGCTGATGATAGACCAAGTTATTGGCTTTTTATATTCTAAAGACATTAGTCTTTCCGAAGATACAAAACAAAAAAAAACGGCGCAATGTACAGAGAAGTAAAAGGCCATCTGCTTTTGGGGGAGATACAAAAATGCTCACAGATTAACATACTACACAGGTGCATGAAACACGAACATAATGCAGCTTCTTTTTAGAGAACCCATTTATCAAATGCAGGGAAATCTCTGTTAGATGGTAACATCTGTGGGTCTACAACAAAAACACCAGACAGGCAACAGCATTTGATTCTGAACAAAACAGTTCATTCATGGTGGTGGCAAAGGGGATTGTTAAAATGTGATAACACACTCACTGATCGAAAAGAAGAACAATTGTGTTTGAAATGAGGAACCAGTCAGCAGGCTTGCTGTGTATGAATCATCAACATCCAGAGGCAGACTTCATCCCATGCATCATATAAGAACCACAAACATTTGTTATTGGGCGCCAAATTAATAAAAGATATTTAAAGCCAGTACACAGATTAGTTCATGGGGTTTAAATGCTCCCCTGGGATCAACTTCAACAAAACCTCCATTTCTGACTCAGCAGACCAGTCATTTAGGTGAGCTGCTCAAGTTTGTTTGGTGTAAATATAGTAAAACGTAAGGACTTCGAGTAAGAGTGGACATTTAAGAATGTCAAAATGACCAAAATGTCCATGGTGTCCTCTGGGATCAGTAAAGTACCCATCTGTCAATAGCTGTTATGATTTAGCCAACACATCCTTTTATAAATCTCTGAGAGTCTGAAGGCTGTAATAAATATGTATATTTATTGTTGTACTTAATATAAATCCTTTTATTCTGGTTAAGCACTGAACTTATTAAATCATTCTTGGAATTTAAACAGTCTTAAATAGTCATCCAAATTCCTTTCAGCCAAAAATAGTCTCAGCTGGACGTTTCTGTAATCGCACGCCACTGACAAATGTACAATTAAAAGGCATTTCGAATCAGCTTGATATTAATATGCCAACATTTTGACTCTCAGCTGAGCGTCACTTGTCTAAAGGCTAAACCTACCTTTGTTTGTCCACTTGGATTCTCACTGACCCCTGGAGGTGCTACCTCAGTGAGCTGGATTAATCAAAACTCTGTGCGTCTCAATCATTTCAAGAAAAGCGTGTCTCCCCCTCTTCAGCCCAGGCTTTGCCCTTGTTTCAGTCAAATGTGGAAGAGCAAAACAAACCCAGATTCCTCTTACTCACTGAGCCTAAAGCTAAAGGCTGAATGATCTAATCACGGGACTTTAAGTCTGGATGTTGAACTCATGAGGTCTACTTTCTCTTTAAATGGCTTGAACCTCAAAGCAACATTAACAGAAGACTTTCTGTCTCATTGCAAGTGTTGCAGCCAGAAAGATCAATTTACTGTTGTGGTATTTATTTCACAATATCTTACCATTCCAGGATTGAATCTATTTAAACTTAAAAGGGAGAGAGAATACAGATGCAATTGTAGAAATTAAGCCTTTTGCCAGCAAGTAATCTGTTTAATAATGAATCCACCTGACTTAGCTGAGGCTTGGCACTCTGGACTGAGGTTTATGTGTGGAATGCAGCCACAGATTACCTTAATATTCCCACGAATAATCCCCCTTTCAGCCACACCTGACAGCAAACAGAAAAAAACACCTTGGGGATCAACTTTTTAGTGCAAATTAATACATGAATTGGATTGAGGTTACTTCCTTCATCTTAGTGGATAAACAACGTGATTAATTCTAACTTCAGGTATTTTATTTATTATTGTGCACACGACTTAGCCATGGGGTACCTGCAAAGTAACAATATCAATACAGACCATGGTTTTCATTTGAACATTATTTGATTTCACTCAAAATTGGGAATTAACCCTCTTAAGTGACACATGACAGACAAGTCCTCCCACAGAAAACAATCTGGTTCCACTGCTGATACTCTGAATGGATCAAACACAGAATGGGTGAAAATGCACTGGGGCCCACTGGAGCTGCAATTATTCTTATGGGCCAACCAACCTCTCCTACATTCATCCTCCAACGACAGCATGTAGCACAGTTACTCCATGACACCACTGATCTTCCTCAACGAAATTAACAGGAATGATTATTAAAACTAACTACAATAGATAGGATTAGTCACTTGTTACCAGCTATATGACCAAGAGGTATCCCACCACCCACTACAACATTGGAACATTTTCTAGCAGCCCTGGCTCACAAACTCCCAACAGCATCAGCCCATATCACCGCTTTCATTTCTTCTCTGTAAGTTTTCTGCCAACAACCCATGAAAGGGGGGAGACTGCTTAAAACAAGTTAAAGTCCAACCGCACAGCGATGACAGAAAGCAGCATTTGCCAAATCCAAGAAGCTGCCTCAGCAGTGTGGTTGAATCACAAGAAAAGCTTGGAGAGAGCCGCGGTCACCTTTGGCAGGCATGACAAAGTCCTTGCAGTTAAACTGGGGCTGGAAATAAAACTGGCATAGTTGCTATAACACAAATGACATCAGTCTGTTTCAGCACCGAGAGGTGAAGCAGGTCTTTAGGTGAATACATGACTTAATGTCATATGTTTTTCTGAAGCAACCCTGTTGTTAAACAACAGAGCAGTTTCTGTGTGTGGCTGCATGCTTGATCTGTTTTTTATTACAGTTAATGGTTTCACAGGTAATGAGCATCAGGACGAATAATGACCTGACCCACAACAACAGAAGGCAGAAAACAGAGTGAACGCAGACTGCATGTTACCTAAAAACTTTGTGAAATATTCTCATCAATAATGGAAGTTATTGGTTTCGAAATTATGAGATTTGAAGTGATGTAGCGATCATTTCACAATGAATCAGAAGTCAGTATGCCTCTGAAAACTCAGGATGACTCAGCTGTTTACATGAACAAGACTGTGTTGTATTTCTTTAGTCAGAAAAGGACTAATTTAATTTCATGATTACTTTTTAAGAATGCCTGTTCCTAAAACGATTCTCTCACTTAGATTGTTAATCATTGATATAACAACCAAGTCATCTAATATAATCTGATTCACGAGACAAACAGGTGAAAACAAAGTTACAAACACAAATTATAACCAACATGTCCCTATTTTCTCTTTAGAAATCCTAGATATTTCAAATAAAGATACTTTTTCAACAGTCTTAGTCCAAATACAGACACTGAAAAGCACGTGTACATTACTCGCACCTACCAGTAGTAACTTGAAACCACTCTCTTTGTTGTCCTCTGAGGCTATGAGCAAAAGCCTGACAGAGCAAGAGGCGCAATAAAAAGATGAACACAGGTCACGTGGGAGGAACAGGTAATCTCACGGGAGCTCTCACGTGAGCTTCATTTAACTTGCCCTTTAACGCTAGTTTTGGTCCAGAGCCTCACTTTAGCTGATTCACTCACTCACCTTTAGGGTTTGCTGACTCCCTGTAACTCTTCAGCCCTCGTCCTGTCCCAAAGGACAAATGTATTGGGATTTTCACCGTCACAGGTGTACTGGATGGAGGAGGAGCAACTGACCGAAATCTGCTTAGTCAACAGTACTCCAACAGGGAAAGAAAGACTTCATGCTGCCCTCTCACACTTATATTCTACATCTGCAACATCCACAGTATATTTAAATTTTAGATGACGGATAAAGTGACTGTTTGGTAAAGAGGTTTTTAGAGGCTTTTATAATTTGAACAAAGAAGTCTGTCAATGAGTGAAATAGGTTTGGTCCCCACTAAATTAACGAAAAATCAACTGAAGTTTATTTTTACATTGACTTGCTGCTGGGAAAGACCTCATTTCATGGAGGGAGATGCTGGTTAGCTAAAACTCAATGGCTATACAATTTCCTCATTAGACCCTAAAATCAGTTACAATTGGAATGATCAGTTAGAAAGTTTACCCTTAATAACAGCAATAACCAAATTATTAAAGGGGCTTTGGTTACGTTTATTTTCCCAGCTTCTCGAAGGTTTATGCTCAGGTTCCTGGCTTCCTATTGAATTTATTTCCTGTGTTTTGGCTCTCCTCTGCTTTGTGCTGGAATTCAGTATGTGAGTCTATGAACCTTCTTCTTGTTTGATCTTGTACTGCATTGATTAGTAATGATCTCATCAGGATACACACGTCACGGCTACAACTGTGCAGATAGAACAAATGAGTATGGTTCCTCCCATCTCTTTGATGAGATATTGAAAATGACACACATGGCATGTATCCATAGACACGTTTGTTAAATAAGTATATTTCTTCTGCTGCTAAATCGTTTTAATAATGGAATAAAACACAAATACAAACATTTAAGCTTCACATTTGTAACGGAATTAAATAAGTTTAAAATTAAGGAGGTGAACGACAAGACTGGCAATGAGTTAGCAGCCAAAAGTACCCAGTGATGGGTACTTTTGGCTGCAAAATGCAGCAAATTCCAGAGCAGGACGACTTTTCAGTGAAAAGAAAACGCCAGTTGGAAAGACACAAAGCATTCCACGCTCTTTAAGACAACATCCAGATTAGCCTGCATGTCTGCTTCCCTGTTATTTATTGGCCTGTCATATCGCGCAACTGAGGCATGTCTATGATTTGCAGCTTTAACATTTCAGCACACAGAGGTTAGAGCAGCTCATGTAAACTTAAGTTGGTTTTAACAAATGTGTGTCTGGAGCTCAAAGTATAAAGATTGAATACTAAAACGACCAACATTGTGCTTAATGTGTGCAAAAGATGGTCTGATCTTGGTGGTGGCATTGGCAGAACATGCAGTTCTTGAACATGGTCAACGAGTGTTGGTGAACTGAACCACTGTTTGGCTTTTCTAAGCTTGTGTGGCTTGAGTGAAAACTGTGCTGCAGAGTGTGTATGTGATTCTAAAACCCCAATTTGGGCTGTAGCTCTTTCAACTCAGTAATTTTGTGAGAAAAACAACGAGGAGGAGATGCTAACTGATAGAAGCTAAAAATATGTGTTGTTAAGAGTGCAGAGTCCCATCAAAACAAAACCATCTAGAAAAATAATCAGCTTTAGCCTTTGTGGTTATGCAAATAACTTTTTGCACCCTACATTCTTCTGACGTCCCACAGCATGTTTTATTAAATGCAGATCAGGATTGTCCTGCCCCAGGCTTTGCCCATGGAGCCCAAATTGTTTCAGCACAGAACAAAAGCTGCAAGTGCAACCACTTACAAGGCGTGTCTGAAAAGTAATGGGACGGGCTGGACTGTACAAGCAGGGATTCATTTATGCGACTGTCTTGGGAGTGTGTAACTGTATGTAACTGGGATCTTTGGTCTGCTTGGGGAAACCTCCATCACAAGCACTTATAATGCTGAGGCAAGTGTATGGAGATAACACTATGTAACAAACATGAACAAGAGGTTCAAAGCTGGGTGCATGGAAGTTGAAAAACTATAGTACGGAACTCATATAGATCCTGATGACTCTCTGGACTGATTTTTCTTTTTCTAGTTTCATAACCTCTTTTTCAAATTCCATATTTTTTTAACAGGATCTTTAAAGAGGGAAAACAAGGGAAATGCTCATATGATATATATATATATATGTATATATATATGTATATCAGTGGCGGACCGTGCATTTCACACCTAGGCCTTCAGTAGTGTTCCGTCTGAATCAATTCACCCCTCAATAACTATTGTATGGTTATAGAAATTATCTTATTATGTAGAAATACAGTAGGGATATCCCGATCCAGCTTTTTGTATTAAAGTTGAAAGTTATTTATCTACTTATTTAGTTTTCAGACTCATGTTGAACAGGGATTTACTCTTATAACAACTTAAAGTTTAGGACACAGACTTGTGGGTTAGGAGATGCTAATGCTCGTCTGGAGTCTGGATCAGCATTTTGTCATACGATACAAATATTGGATCGGGACAAGCCTAAAATACAGTATAAAGATCAGGGGAGCACAAGTCTTCTACTACTGTAGCTAAAGCTGCGACATCCCCCCCCCCCCCAAAAAAAAAAAAAAAAAAATTTAAGAATATCCTCATAAACTCGCAATATTATTTAGGAAAAAAGCAACATTTTACTCACTTTTCTTGAAAAGTCCGTTCTGAAAATGGTCAGTAAATCTGCCACAAAATCATAAAACAGCTATTACACTAAAAAAAACTATATTTCGGTTAGTTTGCCTATTTTGGCAGATCTAGCTATCCAATCAGCGGGCGTGAATACGTTAGCGTTGCCTGAGGCCTTTGAGAAGGCCCTGGTGTCACCAACTTAAAATCTGATGGTTAAAGCAACAGCGTACTCAACATGTATTTTCTGTTGGGGGGGGGGCTGCAGAACGGATTGTGAAGGCCTCCTGGCAGACATCCTTGACTTTGACCCTGCCTAGCGACAATTGATGGCTGAAATGTGATTGGTTAAATGCTTTTATATGAAAATGCATGTCTGGAGGCTGCGCAACCAGGGGAAAAGCTATGAAAGGAAGCGGACAGACTATTTAGAGATATTTAATAAGTTTCCATGGACAAAATATAATTAACGTCAGTCTGTGATTCAGATATTTTCTTAGGCCTGCAGAGAAGGCCTTGCAGGCCCTGACGGCCCACCATTTATATATTATACATATATACACATCCATTGTCCATTGCTTATTACAAACAATCCACATTCCTCTCCATAGCATCACATTAAATAATTATTTTTGTTTTATCAAATAATTATCAAAAAAGAAGAGAAGGAGAGCCACAAGATTATGGAAACCCCTTCAGAACCGTGTTTCTGTGTTCAGATGTCAGCTGTAATTCCTCTATCATTAAAGTAAGATACAGTTGTCTTTGGTTTAATGATACCCACAGCCTTTTCCCATCTTGGGAAAGGAAAATGCATTTCAGGCATCTTTGCCCAAATCATTTACTATAGACTAAGATGCTGTCACACTTGTCTTTATCAGGCTTTGGTCTGACAGTGTTAGACAGACTGAGTACACTCAAATGCAACCACAGACCCCAGGGCCTTGAGAGTTAAGGTGTTAACTGGATCAAATATCAAAACCGGTAGAACTCATCATTTCAGACTTATCTCTTTAAAATAAAAATGACAAGAGCCGTCAGAGAAATCCTCTGCTCCAGACTATACATTTGCATGACTTAAGCTGTTGCCACAAAAGCTGACCAAGTTCAGTTCTCACGTGTAAACCAGCTAAGAAGTCATTTGCTCATGGTGAAATATTTACAAGCAATCATCTAAGGAAACACTAGTCGATATTCCTTTGTTACAGCCGCGGCCTTTCAACAGGCACTTGCTTATTAAGTAAGTGCCTGTTGAAAGGCAGTGGCATGTGGGCATGTGGGGCGTCTGTGAGGAGCAGATCCTTCTCGTGTAATGAAAGATTTGGATTCCTGAGCAGTAAACAAAAGTACAAAAACAACGGCAGTCCTGGTGCCAGAGCACGACTCCACAGTTTCAACATTCTTCTGGAAAAATGTGTGGATTGTAAGGGGAGCCGAGGAGAGGGGCGGTGGTGGTGGTGTAATGGTCTGAGGCATGCGTTCATGGCCCTTGAGATGACTTTTTAAAACTTTGTGTGTATTCATTCCCTCTGATATTTCAATAACTTTGTAGCCTATTCCAGGCAAAAAAAAAAAAAAAGTTTTGTGACCCACGACAGTAAACAGTCATTTCAGAAAGCTGAGGGGAGGACACACTCCTTTGGTCCAAATCTAGCCATAAAACCTCAAAACCATCAGCTGGGGCCTCAATTAGATAGTTCATTCGTGGTTTCTGCCCTTCTGAAATACTTTGAGCCAGAGTTGTGATTCATGAAACAGTTGGATAAAACTGTTACCTCCAGCATGCTGTCAGTTTTATCAAACGTTTTCCCTGCAACAGAGCCATTTCACTGCATAGCTAAAGAATGTGTGACATTAAGAGCGCAATGGAAACACCTGAGCAAATAGACTATAACTTAAACGATCAAATCCTTGAAACCACAAGGTAAAAATCGCTCGTAATGTGTTAGTAATTGTTACAAGCTGGGGAAAGTAATAAAGGAAAGAAATAGAAAATGGTGAGAGCGTAGCCACATTAGAACGTTAATACCAAAGGGAGTTTCCCACTAATGCTGATAAAGATTGGTTGTATTGTTAAAAAAAATGGTATTGTTTGTGCTTTTATATTTTGTATATACCTCCCAAGTGGGGAGCTGAAAAAGCTTGAGTTCTTGCTTTTGGCTTTGTCATGAAAATAAGATCTGATGGTTATTAATAAAGTTCAAATTAATGGATGAATAAATGATCTAAACATGCTCAACCAGTACTTTTTTATATCATAACATTAACTTTCTCATGAAATGTTATAAATATAAACCTGACTATTTTATCGACC